ATGGGAATTCCTTTTTTTTATTTCTCCTCTTCGTAATTCGGAATTAAAAAAAAAACAAAAAAACTTCAACACTCCATATCTCACGTATGGAACAACCCCTAGAGTTGATCACCAAAATTTTTATTTCTCATTGGCCTAAATGGGAATTGGTCTCAAAAAAATTAATTAAATCAACTTTTTGTTTTGCCGAATTTTGCCGAATTCTTATGAGATTATAGAGTTTTATACATTTAATAAAAAGAATTTCAAGAAATTTCGTTCAAAAATTTGAAAAAAAAAAAACAATTCCCATTTAGGCCAATGAAAAATAAAAATTGTGGTGATTGACTCAACTCTAGGGGTTGTTCCATACGTGCGATATGGAGTGCTCAAGTTTTTTTGTTTTTTTTTTTAATTCCGAAGGTTTTCTGAATACACAGATTTTTTTTTTTATACCTTCACTTTTCACAGAGATATTCTCTGCTGAAGGCTGGTATATGGAAAGTGCAGTTAACTTCAAGTTCATCATATTTTTACTCGTCAATCAATAAAATTTTACGGAATCGAGAGACCTTGGTGTCGATGCGAGGGAGAAGGAAGATGGCCTTTTAATTAAGAATAATCGTAATGTGCGTAGCCGTGAGCCAAATATTTCACCATCTGTGCGGTAATGAGTCATCCCGCTTGTATGTTTTGATAAAAATAGGGTCTTATTAATCATCAATCGAACCTGCACACCGATCGATTACTTTTTCTTATCTTATCTTGGACTATCGATAAAGATGATTCAGATACTGCTTGACACTCATAGTTAACTGTGAATCACCTAAAAAGTCTTCTTGGATAATTTATATTTATTTATCAAATATTAATATTCCTAAAAAATGTAAATTATTCCATAAACTCTTTAACACCGGATTGCTCTCTAAGAACAGTGATAGGAAAAAAAGGAAAAATAATTCACTCAAACATTTTTTATTAGATAGTATAATTTATTCTTTATTTGAATACATCATATGCTGTAGAAAACTACCATTACTTTTGCAATGTTCTTTGCTTCTTCATGGGGTTGCCGATGGGTCGATGACTTTGGCGATGAGGATGGGTGTGCCTGTGCTTTTTACGACAAGTGCGCACAGGAAAGGCTTGTCGAAAACAAAGCTCGGTGGAGGGCACATAGGCATCGCATTCACATCTGCATAGAAATAATATTTATAAAGACTTTGAACACCTTGGTCTAATTAATTTCATCAACTCACGTGTAACAGTACCAGCCTCTGTTCCCTCTTCATTTACTTCGATAAGCACTTTTTGAATGACTTTACTGATTTTTAATGGAGGCGCGTCAGTTATTCCTGTGAAATCAGCTGTATCTGAGAATGGCATCTTCATCCCCATCTAGAATATTAGGAGAATTTGAAAAATTGGCAAAGATGAATGGAGATGTCGTGTAGTAAATGAGGTTCTGTTAGGATCAACTTGAATTGTTTCATCTGCTTTTGTTGAATTATTAGTCTGTGAATTATGAAATTATGTAGAAGGGATTTTTCACCTTGCTTAGAACCGGTTCAAGCTCAAATTTGCTTTCAACTTGGAACCTAGGAACACCTAACTTAAGTCTTTCGGGAGGCCCGTTGAGTTCTTGGAAATATATTTTATCAAGATTTGCCTCCACTTTCTGCCATCCGGTCATTTTGTCAGGGACAATAATGTACATGCTAATGGCATCATCTTCATTCTCGCTCTGAAAAGAAAAACCAGACAGAACAGACATGTTAATGGACTAAAGTATCAATGTTGTGTTGTATCGAGATCGTCTAGGTCCTACCTGGAACGGTAATTCAACGTACTGAGCATCAAGATCAGGAAGATCCCCGCAATTGAAATAATCATCTATCCACATCATTGACACCTCCTTCGTGGCAGTTTCACTGATCGAGAATTTCTGGGATCCTGTAAACGCTTTTTCAAAAGGCTTTACCCATTTTCCCTTGAAGTGAATGGCATTCACCAGAATCAGGGAAGCGTCCTGCACATCGTCTGCGAGGAAATCGGATATTACAAATAATTTCGAATTTCTCATGTTTGCGAGAATAATTTTATGGAAAATGTACTAGGTTGGACGACATCTTTGATGCACCCCTCGGTCTGCGTTTCACACCAAACATTGATTATTCTACTGCTCTCATCGAGTTTAGTAAAATCAACACTCTCCACCTCTGATTTAAACAACGAGTTGATAATCGCTCTGAACTCAGATTTAACTTCCAAGCCTTCTGCTGTAAATATCTTGTTTGCCAGATTCAACTTCTCTTTTTTTATATTCTGAAAACAACATTTTAAAAGTACTAGAAGTAAATCATTTATTATATTCATTAACCCAGATTAAAAAAAAGTCGTACTTGGGGTCCGATGTAGTTCCATCGATACAAATTCCATATTAGAAATTGAACACCGGAAGCAATTAGAAATATTTCACGTAACCTCGTAATTCTTAAAAATTTAATGTTTTTCCACTTGAAATTTTGCGATTAATTTTGTGGTGTTGGATTTTGAGCTTACATTCAATTTATCAACCAGAAGTCGGATCCCATCAGTGGTAAGAGTGTCATCAGCTGGCAGATGAAGGACGGACCGGAGTTGATTTTCGGTGTTGCCACGAGCTCCAAATGTTAACATTGACAAAGTTATCGAGACACTCGCCGGTGAAAACATAAAATTTCCTTTTTCTCCGTCCACTAGTACCTTCAATAATTCCTCATTACACTATTATTTACTGCTACCAGACTTTCGTAATTTACCTTGTAAAATCCAGTAGCTAATTTGTGAATGCTGGAATTTATGAGGCGCAGTTTGTCGTGTTCAATCGGTCCTGACATTTTTGTTGTGTACTTGTCGATGGCGCAGTGTGATGATGATGATATGATTTTTATGGAACTGACTGAGATGTCTTGCGGCCGTTATTCTTCTGTTGGGCGTTTCAGGAAATGGTGTGTTGTGTGGTGATTTCTGGAGTTTCTCAATAATGCACAGGGCGGCGGGTAAGTCGCCCGTGGAGCGCTAAAGCACTCTGCTCGCTGGAAGCGGGAAATTAAAAAAAGGGGGTATGAACACTGATAACTCAGTTTAACTTTCGACTCAATGTTATTTCTCGTTTTATTCACAGAACGGCACTTGTACTTTTTAGGTTCAACTTTTTAGGTACATTAGGTTCAACTTGAGGAGTTGTTTCCCGGTTGCTTGACAAGACGGAAGAGTTCTTAATATCTAACATTTTTCTTAAGCTAATTCTTAAATTTACTTTAAGTCTAAGTTCAGCCCCTAGAACTTGGTAGGAAGCCAATCGCGAAATCAGACGCTCTGAGGGTTGGATCTCTTACCCCCACGACGCTTAACCTCAGGGTTTTTCCTTAGCCGGTGACGTAGGGCCTGACGTTAAAAAAGAAGAGGAGGCAGATCGTTCCTTGGAACGGCAATGAGGGAAAAAAAGTATTTTTCTGTGTTATAGCTTCAAGGCGCGACAAAACTAATTAGGGTGGATTTTAAAAGGGTTTTATGAGAAGGTCCCACTTTGGAAGGGTCTTCTTTATGGTAGGCAAATCGTCTACGCCGTAGTGCCCACCTTTGTCCCAGAGTCCGGGTATTTAAGGGCACTAGCTTTTTATTACGCTGCCTATTCTGATTTGTTCCCATGGGTTTTGTTAATTTAACTTAGTCCTCAATTAATTCTAATTCTTAATTCTATTATCTACAGAGTTCGAAGGGTTTGCGCGACATTTTGGGCGGTGATTCGAATCATCCTCGCGGGAATGCTTCACTAGGGATAATTATTTGGGGGAATTATATCACTAGGTACTCTATACAACAGGCGTGACCGATTCTCTATATAACTGGATAGACTATCCCTATGCACCCACTACGCCGACACTGAGGCAGTACTGTAGGACAAGCAGCGCCTCAGAATAGTAGCTCGAGTACTACAGTGCCCTTGACTGCGCATGCGCATCACCCAATAGTTAAAAATAAATTTCGATAATTGTTTTTGCTAAGTATATGGCGCTCTCATGAGGCTCACGCAAAAATTACTATTTTCAATTTTTTTTTTAATTCCCAATACATATGGTATAAATTTCGTAAGAAATCGAGAGTCTCGTGGAGAGAAATACATAGATGCCAAACATTTATTAGATTAATCACATGTAAACAATCATTTAATAGACATTGGTATTACCCGTAGTTAATTTTTCGGAAGAGTTATATGTCCTTGGAACAGAAGTGTATTGGTTGACCTGTGGATTATGGTATAGATGAAGGGCCTGTCAATTTTGATTTCTATCGGCCTAATCGGTGACACAACTGCTGAAGTTGGGACCATTATTCCGACTGAAATTAAACAACGCAAATTTATATGAGATTTTTTCTACGGATCCATATTCTTTCCATAATTTTCCCTCAATTTTATTTTGTCCTTTTGAAAAAAAGTCTCTTAGGAAGAAAGGATAGGTCTGATTTTTGCTCTGAGTGGCAAGTGAATTTTTCATGATCCACTATATATCAAGTTTTTAAGATTTTAACTACAAATTTTTCGTTATGAAATTTCACAGAAATTCAATTCAACTTTTACCGAAATTTGTGGAATTCCGGCTAGAAAATTAAAACACATATTTTTAATGGTGCGGATTGTCATGGAAATTGCAATGAACATTGCCAAGTGCTCGGAATTTATTACATTAAAGATTAATCTTATATCAAACAGGATTCAGCAAGTATCAGATATTTCTCGACAGTTCAATTTTCCGGAAGAGTTACATGTCCTTGGAAAAGAATTGTATTGGTTGATTCGTGAACTATTGCGTAAATAAATGGCCTCTCAATTGTCATGGTTATTGGTTGAATCCTTGGACGAACAGCGGTGATTGATCCTACCACGACTGAAAATCAATAACATAATTGTTTTTTAGATTTTTTTCCACCAATTTAACTTGTTCGTAAGTGTGAATATAAATTCTAGCGAATATATTCCTAAATTCCGAATATCCTGACAATCCCGTGTAATGTTTTCTCAATATGAGGAATTCTCGTCTTCATGTCACTTAAACTTTTGGGACTTGACTGAACTTGGAGTGAATTTCGAATTACCAGAGTTTCCAATTATCATAAAATTCACGTAATTCCATGGTTTTATGAAGTATTCTTTTTGGGGTTGCAAAACCATCATGATTCATCATGCGAATGAATTGCACCGATAATACGAATGATATTTGAAAATTATATACATGATGCATACATCAATTTTCCGGAAGAGCGATGTGTCCTTGGAATAGAATCGTATTGGTGGATCCATGAATAATAGCATAAATAAAAGGCTTATCAATTGTCAATGTTATCGGCTTGATCGGCAGTGTGGGTAAAGAGACGAGCACAACCCCGCTTGCTGAAAGTAAGATATTTCATAAATATTTATAAATTTTTTCGATAAACTTTCACCACCATTTGAGAGTTACTTGCGATTGAGAGTTGATTAGTTATCAAAGCATTGATCATTTCAAAAGAATTGTCATCCCATGACAATTTATAATAAATATATTATCAAAGAACCGATATAATCAGGTACGGATCAGGCATTTCTCAATTTGTTATTTTTATTTTATTTGAACATTGATTGAGCTCAATATATAAACGTTTTATCTGAATGGACGGCCTATCGATGATTATTGCATGTAGCAGTCATATTCATCTTATCAATTTCAATTCTTGGGAAGCATAATTTTTCCTTGGAAGAGAATGGTATTCGTTGATTGGTGGACTATTGTAAAAATAAAAGGCCTGTCGATTTCCATTGTTATCGGAATAATCGGTACTGCAGGTGCCAACTCAGTCATTATTACAGCTGAAAGCAAACAATATGTCCCGTCCTTGAACAATAATTACAAAGCAGGAATTGTTTGACTGAAGTGTAATGTTTTCACAGAGATTCGTATTCATCTCTTCATGAAAAGGAAAATGGTTTATTTCTTTAACGAAATTGAGGAAAACATCCGATATTGTTCAGTGAAAGACAGTGAGAAGATAATGCAAACAAACAAATTCGTTCGAGACGAAAATAAAAACCGGGATTTCATACAAAGATTTTGGAGATTTAATTATGTCAAGTGTGTTGACTTTTGGATTCAGTGTAAGAACACAAAAAACTTGTGGCTGCACAAGAAAAAATGATTCCTCAAATTAAATGAAAACTCTATCTTTTCCAAAGAGAAAAAACTGATTGGTACGTGAGATTTTGGAAACACGGAGATTACTTGTATAAATTAATTCAATAAGTAATCATTAACAATGATAATAATGCAGTAATTATTTAGAGCCTGCATTCATCTTTTCCCTGTGATTTTCACAGAATGGATATAGTTAAGAAATCATTTTGAATAAACCATTGGATGTTCTGTGCTGTTTATTCGATTTCGGTTGATAAAATAATAAAGTTGCGATGTTTCTAATTCTCCGGAAGTGTAATGTGCCCTTGGAAGAGAATGGTGTCGGTTGCTTTGTGGATAATAGTGTAAATAAAGGGTCTGTCGATTTTCATTGTCATTGGCTCAATTAGTTCCTCGTCCAAGGAATCCGCGACTGCTACAACTGCTGGATTTGAATAATACGATTTATATTGTTTCGTTGTGGATGCAGATTCATTCATCCAATTAATTTCAGATACGAATGTCGCAGGTGTTAGTCACTGGTTGGAATCGGATTTATGTATTGTGTATGTTATTGAAAATTAAAGTTCCGAATAAACATGTCAGTGAAATTCAAAGAGATCTCCAATGTAGAGTTGGAAATTTCTCATGAAAATTCGAGGAAACGGACCAATCTTCCTCTTCTAGTTCTGCAGAAGTTTGTAGAAGTCAAAATGTAATTAATTATTTAATGAAATTAATCAAATTCAGTAAAATATTCTGTTTGGGCGTGGCGAATGACTGGAAAAATTGCGTGAAGAGTCGCAAGAAATAGAATAATACTAATTTATCTTATTTTTTTGTTTTAGGTAAGTTTCCCGTAACTATCGATCACTACTTCTAGAACTTGATAAATCATTGCGATATAATGAGTAAGCAATTACCTACAAACAATATTTCTGAGTGTAATCAAGTGGGAGAGTTCCGCAAGCGGGAAGACTACTGTCTATTCGAAAATCTAATACACACTCTTGGAAATAACTTGCAAACTGAGAGAAAAATGTATTTCCTTGAAGCAAATCCTAGTTTCATCAAGTGGTTTATTGTGCAATTTTCTACAACGTCGTGTCATGGCCATTGATTGCCTCCGTAATGACAATCATCAAATATCCTACTCTAATTTTCCGGAAGTTTGATGCTTCCTTGAAAGAGAAGAGTGTTGGTTGATGGGTGAACTATAGAGTAAACAAAGGGCCTGTCAATTTTCATTGTTTTCGGTTGAATCGGTGGGCCAGGTCGGCCAGCTTCACCTGCTATCCCTACTGGGTGTAAATAGTAACGCTTCAATTAATTATGTTTCCAGTAAACTCTAATTACCAACATTCTTAAATTACTTCTGCAGAAAGCATGAATTTCCGAATGATTCGAAATATGAGTTGACTGTTTTCAATTTTTCTCTAATCACTAGAAAGATGGTTGTACACCAGATGAATAGTTTGGCTTTCAGAAGTAAGAAAAAGTTAGACAGAGTTAGAAAAAGAAAGAAAAACAAGTTAGACATTCCGCATATTTTCTGTATAGTATATTATATTATCATATCATCTGAACAAATCGCTAGTCAAGCAATTGAGATGAAATATCATCGATTACTGTCTACTCTAATTTTTCGGAAGTGTGATGTGTCCTTGAAAGAGAATCGTATTGCTCGATGAGTGGACAATAGCATAAATGAAAGGCTTGTCAACTTTGATTTCTATTGGCTCAATTGGTTTGACGATTGCAGAGTATGCGACTGCTATTCCTACTGCAATTAGACAACACGTATTTACATATTTTGCCATTCAAAATGACGATTTATTAATCCATTAAATTGTCCATATAAATATAAAAAAAGGTTATTCATTGAAGCATTAATTAATAAACTGGTTTAGTAACATGGCCTTGGAAAAGAATGGCATTTGTCGCACTATGCACAATAGCATAAACGAATGGTTTGTCAATGGTCATGGTTATGGGAACTGCCAAATGGTGCCCCGATCGCACTGCTATGACTCCCACTGAAATGAAAGAGGTTCAACGTCAATGGAAAATTCAAGCTGAATACCAAGCCCATGAATAGCCCAAAAGCTCAGAGAAAGTTGTACGAATAATAATTATTGGCAAAAATTTACCTGTCACTGCAGCAGCTTCACTTCCCTCTTCATTTACTTCAATTACGGCTTTCTGGAGAACTTTACTTATCTTAAGTGGTGGATTATCGGTAATTCCGGTGAAGTCTGCGTTGTCCGAGAACATACGCCCCAATCCCATCTAGATGAGGATAACAATCAAATCAGGGAGAGCAATAGAACTCTTCAGCAATGATTTCGCACTGGAGAATCGAAACTGTTCTGACAGACTTTAATTTTTAAAATGCTTTTTATTATCATACCTTCACGAGAGTATTTTGCAAGTTGAAGGAACTCTGGGTTTTGAATTTAGGAAGGTACAGGAACATGTCAGTCATTGCATGCCTGTCGTGAAGATCCTGGAAGTTCACCTTATCAAGGTTGCTCTCAGCTTTCGTCAAACCATCGACATTGTTAGGGAGGATGATGAACATACTTGTAGCATCAGTCTCATTTTCATGCTGTTTAGAGAAAGTTGGAGGAAATTAATAACTAGATGATGGTCAATCATCCTTTCCATGGAGCAATGCGACCTACTTGATAGGGTAACTCCACAAACTGAGCATCCAGGTCTGGCAGATTTCCATAATTGTACCGGTATCGTGTGGTCATCATGGGTACGTCCTGTGTTGTCTTATCGTTGACGTGGAAAGGTCTAGGTTGGGTCAGAGATTCTCTGAATTTGTTCTTCCATTGGCCTTTGAAGTATACGGCATTGACGAGGACCATAGCAGCTGCAGCCAAGTCATCTTTAATGCGAAAAGGAAAGATTAGCACAGCAATAATAATTTATCTTCATTGCGCTGCTGCTATTATCCACAATGATGAATTACCTGGTTTGATCACATCTTTGATAAGACCATTTGTTTGTGCTGAGCACCAGGCGTTGATTGTTGCACTCGCAGCTTCTGCTTTTCCAAAATCCAAGCTCTCAGCTTGGGATTTAAAGGATTTTGCTGTAACTTCTTTGAAGGCTGGTTTTACTTCAAAACCGCTTGCCGTGAAGATTTTATTAGCTACTTTGAGGTCGACTTTCTTGACATTCTGGAGATAATAATGCGGGTCAGACTGATAAAACTGTTTTCAAGTGTAATCCATTGACTCACATTGAGAATATCGATTAACGATTCAAAACCACTTTTGGTGACTGCATCGTCGGATGGTAGACGAAGTCCTGAACGCATTTCTTTTGCTGTATCACCACCTGCTCCAAATGCCGCCATTGACAAGACCATTGATACGCTCACAGGGGAGCAGATTAAATTAGTTGATCTGTTTTCCTCCGATATGTTCTGAGATTAAAATATTATCGTCGTAATGAGTCACTAAGAATACTGCTGAATCTTTGTATAAGATCAACGAACAATTGATGGATAATAAGATTTTAGGGATAAATTCACAATTTTTTTAAAAATATACATTTAATTTATCAGCCTGAAAATCTTTCGCAATTTTCATTGTCCGAAAAATTGATGTTACTTTCATATTCAAATCATATTTTACTCGCGTCGGCAAAATTGTTTATTGAAACTTATCAAGTGTGAAATTCCTCGACTTGAAGTCATGTCAGAATTGTGATAATCATTCTTAGCATGAGTATTGCGAGTTAAAAAAATGAATAATAATTTGATAAAAAATCATTTCCTCTCAGTTTGGCAAGAATAATGTGAAAATGTTGTGTTACCTTGAAAAAATCGACCGCGAATTGATTGAGTGTCGTTGAAACAGCCCTGAGTGCGTCATTTTTTTCTGGAACAGCTGCTGATAATGTATTTGGAAAGCCTGTAGCTATCAGAGCTGCACCGAGAGCAATGACAATAGAATCTAGTGAAAAATAATGACCTTATTAATTATTCTGTGGAGAAAATCACTGAACAAAAGTACTGGGAATTACGTACAACGCGTCATTTTTGATCGCGCTTAATTACAAGTTCGTTGAGTGAAATCACACGTATGAAACGATAGGACACCACGGCAGAACTGATATCTCATGTTTTAAGTGCGCGCGTATTTATTGTATGAATCGGCTCGGGAATCCCCACCCAACTAAGCAACAGTCGTTTTTCCTGCGATAAGGAATCTGACAGAATATTATTCTGTTATAAACGTCTACAACATTTTGCATGTCAATATCGTTTCCATAAATATATGACCGTGGCTCATTGATTTATGCAAAATTATGTAAGCGACGATTTTTAAAATCTCAAGTCTGTATTCATACAATACAAATAATTCTTAAAAATAACTCAGGTTTATTCTCAGGAAAAAAAACATTTCCTTATTACACATTCTCTCGAGTCTTTATTTACCGAATTTATTACTTTACGATTGTTTTTTTTTTAATGAAGTAATTGCTGGAGCAATGAGGATTTTTCTGTTACCCTCATCTCAGGATTTCCTTCATGATTAATTATTTTATGAATTCTGCTGACAAAATTTGACCTTCATGATATGCCAACTTTTCCATATGATTACGTCAATTAATCCAAACTAGAAATTATGTCAGTATCCAGCAATTTCGTTTTTAAAAAGCTTGAACTATTACAGAATAAAGTTCATCAGCTGAAGATGATAAATTATGATTTGCTTATTGACGATTATTCATTTTCAGTTGATTTTTACTTTCATAAAGAAATATAAAGTGCAGTATCATGGTTGAATCATTTCATTTTATTCATTGTTATCGATTACATAATTATTACAATTTAAGAAAATAGAAATCAGTATTCGGGGTTCGCAATGCGACCACTAAAAAGTACAGATTTCGATACACCTCCCTCTAATTGATCATTGACCATAATAATAGCGAAATAGAAAGGTCTGTCAACCGTCATAATCACTGGGTCTTCTGGAGGCATAGGCATTGACATGGGCACTGCTACCACTGAAACGATGTAAATTCAAATGATATGATAATCATTCAAATAGTATGATTCCAAACCATAGAATTAAAAACCTTAACACAATGACAATTTTTCGATTTTCCACAAAAAAATTGAAAAGACCAAAATTCAAGTTCAATTTTTTTGAATATGAATATTTCTGCATAGAAAAATTTTCATCTGTCATTAGGAAATTTTCTTTTTCTGAAATGCTTACTTGAAGTAACAGCAGCAGCTTCACTACCCTCTTCATTCACATCAATCATAGCTTTCTGCATGGCCTTTCCAATCTTCAGTGGTGGAGCATCAGTGATGCCCTTGAAATCCGCCTTATCACTGAACATATCAGTCATTCCCATCTGCAAAGATCAACTATTGGCATTCTATATCTGCAATATCTAAAGTACACAAGAATGCGATTTGTTTAACCTCTTCCATTGCAGGTTTCAGATCAGTGGTGCTCTCCATCTTGAACTTGGGCATCTGGAGCATCACATCTCGCATTCCTACGTGTCCTCGAGCTGTTTCTAAGTCTAAACTTTCTATTTTATTCTCCAAATTCCGTAATCCGTCGTTTAGTTCATTTGGTACAATGAGGTACATGTTGACTCTCATTCCTGGGGATTCTTCCGACCGCTGAAATTCAAAGTGGCGAGTTAGCTTAAGTATTGCGTCAGATTGACAAACAGTTCGATGATTCACCTCGTATGGAATTTCTATGAATTTAGAGTTGATACTAGGGATCTCTCCATACAACATTCGATCCATTTTGCTCATCATCATAACGTCTTTTGTTGTTTTTTCGTTCAAATTAAATGGTTTTGTAGTAGTCATTTCTTTGGCAAAAGGTTTCGCCCATTTTCCCTTGAAGTACACGGCGTTGGCCAGTACCATTGAAGCGTCTTTGATGTCGTCTGCAGGGTTTTTCAATAATATCATGCAATCAATATTTGTTGAATGCATATTAATAGAGCAATATAATCGCCATCATGAAAATTTAATCAAGATTATCTCTCGCAATTATCGTGATAATGGAAGCTTCGATTGCAGTAACATTTGATTATTGGCAGTTGTTTGGGTTAAATATTAACCCTCTCTTTATCACTTCGGTGATATCATTCTATTGGCGACAAGATCATATCATGTGATTTATCTACATAAATTTATGTTTTCGGAAATCGTATTACAGTAGTTATAGAAACTAGTTGGAGGCATTTGGTGGATTGTGAGGAATGGGTTATTTGTTTTTTTATGAATTAAAAGAAAACAGGTAATTTATCTACCTGGCTTCATCAAATTTTGGATTTTGTTATTCGTCATCTCAGCTGCCCACGTATTGATGGTCTCAGCAGCCTCAGGTTTTGTGAAATCCATACTTTGAGCTATCGAGTCAAATGTCTTCTCAGTTACTTCTTTGAATTCAGGTTTCATATCAACGCCCGTTGTCGTGAAGATCTTGTTAGCCATTTTCAATTCAACACCCTTGATGTCCTGCAACGTAATTAATGTTAATCCCTGAAAGTGAATTGATTTGTGGAAAGTGGGAAAATTTACATTGGACTGATCGATCAAGCTCTTGATTCCACTCTTCGCCATGGTTTCGTCTTCTGGCATCGCAAGGGATTTACGCATTTGATTTTTCGTATCACCACCTGCACCAAACGATGCCATAGCAGTCACCATAGAGATACCGATAGGTGACATCACAAAATTTTCCGCCATCCCCTTCATGTTTTTCTGGAATCATCACGAATTCATTCCAACTGGTCAATTTCATGACTAAAGCAGATGATTTTTATGGAGCAAAAAATTCTTGATGTTATGCAGAAGAAAAAAATATTAAAAAAGGAATTTTCACATTGGAAAAAATTGGTTTCTCGGTTTTAGAAAGTTACTTTCGACTTCAAATAACTCTTTCAGGAAGAAAATGCTTTCATGGATTTCAACTTTACAAAATTCTTTTACTTGTTATAAAATTGATAGTATCATTTTTATAACAACGTCAGGATGAGCATTTCTCAAAGCAATTATTCCAAGAAATTGTTCATTATGTAAAAACTCAGTTTCAAATTTAGAAACGGCACTTTTAACATTCAAAATTTTTTCCTAACCTCAAAAAATCTTCTTTCCCTGTGAAATATCGTTTGATTTTACCTTATAGAATTCCTTAGAGAATTGATTCATTCCCCTGGAGACCATGCGTAGAGCCTCCGGATTTTCCGGGATGACCATGGCCCACGATGAAGCCAAAAAGGCAATTGAGAATATCAAAACAGCTACAAATCATGAAAGAAAAATTTTACTCCTAAAAAACTTCTTCTCGTAACATAAATAAACTTTCCCACGACGTATTTTGTACGGCTAATGGGTATTTCCAGAATTTTTATTTTCCTCATAATTACCTCTCATGTCGGTACGATATTGTTCTGCGACTCGGTAATTACTAAACTGAAATATGAAACTGCTGATGCTTTATATATTCAAACTTCAAGATTGTGTGAAAACGTTACAAATGTACGATGAGGTCACCTTAACGAACACTCAGAAATCTCTTATCGTTTTCTCTTCATAACCTCCGAACTTTTTTCGAATAATATTATTGAGAACAATAACAATGAAATAACCTTCTTAACACCAGGTCTGGATGGCATAGGTCAAGGAGCTGTTTCTTCTAACGAGTATATAGGTTATCTTTCTTTGCTACATCAGCTTATTGCGTTGTTTATTATTTATTATTACATAAGCAGATGGTTTTCTGCCTTTAATTACACTTTGTGTGTTTAAAGAGAGAGAACATTTTGGAGTCATCAAGTTGGTTTCCGTTAGATAATGGATTTACGATTATATGAGTATGAAACGATTGAAAAATTATTCTGCATCCTTCGTATGCTTCGTAATATTTTCGTATACATATTTTTATTTATATGTGTAATTTTTGTGTAGCTTACATCCTCTTCAACGAGAACAACTATAAAGAAATCCGTGAATTCGTTCTAACGACAAATAGGTGTAGAGGAAAGAAGGAAAAAATTATAACAAACGGGTTGATAGACCAATTTATTTTAGGTAGAATTTTAGATAGAACATTTGACTGATTTTTCTTAACGTTGCATTTCAAGTATTCTGCATTTTTCATGCAACTGGTGAAGTTACATGCCCTTGAAAAATTACTGTTTTATCATCTCCATGCACGATCGCATAAACAAAAGGTCGATCGACTTTTACTATATTTATTGGTTGTGGGGGTTCCGGAATGGTGGCTACACCAATGCTGCCTGAAATATAAATTAGATAATTCTGTTAATTCCACATTAATCATATTGGTCATTGGATTGTCAGAATTACTTAATGTAAGGTCTACTTACCAGTAATTGCAGCAGCTTCGCTCCCTTTCTCGTCAACATTGATATAAGCTTTTTGGATAACTTTGCTAATATGCATCGGCGTTTTCGTAATGCCACTGAAGTCGGCGCCATTTTCAAATACGTTTTGAATACCCAACTGCGGGAAAAGATTTTGATAACAATTGATAATAAATCTGGATATGGTGATTTTACTCAAAGACGCACCTGCTTTAGAATTTCTTCGAGATTGAATTTGCTTTCGACTTTGAATTTTGGCAGATATAATTGGGTCTTTGAAGTACTTCCTTTGAGTGCACCAAAGTTCACCTCGTGAAGAGTCCTCTCGACATTCTGGAGTCCGTTGATTTCGTCAGGTACAATTACAAACATACTTATTTGGCCACTACTGTCTTCCCTCTGGAGTAAAATTCAGTCGAAATTTTTAGCAGTGAGAATAAATAGAAAACATCTTCTTAATTACCTCATATGGAATTTCAATGAACGTCGCATCATTTTTCGGTAATCTCCCAGAATGGAAGCTCTCTTTAATCGCCATCATATCAACTTTCTTGGTGATTCGCTCATTGACATGAAAATCTTGTGCTTTTGTTAGACTTTTGGAGAATTGTTTCTTCCAATTACCCTTGAAGTAAACAGCATTGGCTAGAACTGTAGTAGCGCCTTGAAGATCGTCGGGTTTGAAAAGATCTTTGATTTTGTTGTTAGTTATTTCAGCCGCCCAATCATTAATGGTTCGAGCTGCCGCTCTCACTCGAGAAAAATCTACGGGTTGAACTGTTGATCCAAAAGTATCTCCAATCACACGTTCAAAATCGCCTTCCAATTGCAAATTGTTATCTATAAAGATTTTATTCTCCAGCCGAAACTCCGCTCTCTTGATACTCTGTTAAAAAAATCTTCATCACATCCATTGATCGTAATGATCATAGTCTAATGATTATAATTTACACCAACTTCGTTCGTCGTCTTGAAGATCTCTTAAATAAATAATTGGCGAAATAATTTTACGTACATTCAATGAATCAATGAGAGATGTAAAACCATCTTTGGTAAGGGCGTCATCTTTGGGAAGGCCTAAGATTGATCGGAGCTGTTCTTCAGTTTTTCCATTTGCTCCAAAAGTCAACATAGAAAGCATCATCGAAACACTCAAAGGAGAGCTAATAAAGTTGCCTGACTCAATCTTAGCAAGGTTCTACGATTAAAACAAGTGGAAAGTTAGTTTCATTTTCATATAGCCAGCGAGTAAAAATTCTCATGTAAAAATGATCGAAACCTATTTTTTAAAAATTAATAATTTTTCCACTCAACGCTAATTCTCTTTTAATCTTCACATTATTAATTTCGAAATCCTCACGCTAAAAATTTCATAAAAAGAAAGAAAAGTTTTTCAAAAAAGTTTCGAGGCTTCAATCGAAATTTTTGAAAGTTTCCTATTGAAATCTTTAAGATTCTAGGGTCTCTATTTTTTTCATATAAATAATTTCATTACCTTATAGAAGTTACCGGCAAATTCATTCATGCTGGAAGAGATAGTGCGAAGTGCATTTTGATTCTTGAAAGCGACTTTTCCCTGAGTTGATCCCACACTCAGGACTGCAGCAAGGGCGACCAGTAAAAATAATCCTGTTAAATAAGGAAACGAAGCGAGATGTAATTCGCTATGCTGCATATATTATATTAATTTGTAAATGACTTGATAATTAACTTACGGGAATTCATGGGCGCTTCGTCGTTCAAATCAATTCTAAATGAATCGAGACCGTGAATTTCGCTATATATGTGCGAGACAGCCGCTGATTTTGATAGCCCACTTGATTATGCAAGATAACGATTGCGATTAACTGATTACATCCCCAGTATAATTATATAATTATGTAATTATGAATTTTTTCACTGAGAAAAGAAGATCTTACAGTCAACTGAAAAAATTTCATCAATCATATTTCATGAATTGTCCCAATAATTGTTAATATTGACAATTTCATTTAAATAATTTTCAAAGAACATCCAATATTCAAATAAAACCAGGGTCTTACCCTGAACTGTAAACTCCATCTTCCAGAGTTCCTGGTAAGCCAGTGAATTGAAATCCTTCAATTGCATGAATTGTAGGAGCTTTTATCCTCGTGGTAGATCGATCCGTTGAACAGGAGTCGCATTTTGTGCTGTAAAGTTGTTCATGACAGTTGCACCCTTTAAACTAAAGAACTAACTTATCGAATCTCAATAGTCCTTCAATAATTGAAAAGTTTCGTATAATTCATGTGGTGTTGCAAAATATTCACTGTGCCCGAGCGTCCGCTAGAAATCATTTGCGAAGGTAAAATCTTAATCCTAGAATATCCCTTGAGTCAATATCACTTGATCGAATTTAATCACCTGAATAATTTATCGAATATTTATAATTTCCCCTGCCTGACAAATCTGGCTGAATTAAGATTAAGGGGCTTCCCATTTTTCCATTCATTTTATCACTCTTCGCTTGTACTTGGGGTTGATACGACTTCGCAATTCATCCACTGGCTGACCTCATCGGACTTTATTCCCTTTTAACACGAATTCACGTAGTTTTCACCCTATGAATGTAGAGCACGAGTTGAACCGATCGATATATTGAGCGCAACTCTCTAAAACTTGTCAATCCTCGCAAGCAATCGATGCATTCGATTGTGCGATAACAATTATCTATACCAAGACAAAAGTATATGAAAAAATATACATCAATTGTACTCTATATTTTTCTCTATATCTTTCTTCTTTTAGAAAATTATAAAGATAAATATGAATATAAATATATATATTTTTTTGTAGATCAACATTTGTTCATTGAAGATATTTTTTAATACAATTTTAAAAAATAAAACCACAAATACACAATGAAAAGATAATAAGGAAAAGAAAAGTCCAAATGGATTCTCTGTATTTTCTGTTCAATGAAAAAGTTAATTATTGGTGATTGAGAAATTCGTGATGATGAGTGGGAATAGTGTTATCAAGTAAAAAAAACGGGTACGTAGTATCCATTTCTTGCCGATTCCTTAATACCTCGTCTAGTCAATTAGAGCTGACATTTATCGGAGCATCGACCGTAATTGGATGAAGACATTATTCCGGAATGAAGAGACGAGACTCGCAGGCTTGTGAAAAATTCCCTGCTACAATGTCAGAAATTTCTAGATATTTCAATGCCAATGTTATCCGTCTTTTCAGTCCTGTGAACTTAAAATTAACATCTCTTTTGAAAAAAAAAATAATTGCCTACAATAGAGAATCCTTATCAAAACTGATTGCCAATCAGTAATAATAATGGTGCTGTCAGAAGTCTAAGGAACTTTTCTCTTTGTCACACGTAATTTGTCAGATTATCTTCTAATGGTTGAGAAAAAATCACGTATTCGATGTGATTTCATTCGTCGTAAATGGAAAATACGACGCTGTTAAATCGGGGAATTCCCAAATAAGATAATTTAGGATTTTCCTAAGAATTCCTTTCTAGGAATTCCTCTTCCTTTGGTAATTACATCTCCAATCAGACTGTCGGTGTCTACGCAGACGTCAAAATAAAAAATATTCGATATTAATAGGTTAATGGACCCCTAGATTCCCCAGTGGGTTCCATATCGTTGCATCTAACTTTATCGTCAAGGTTCCTGGAATTTAATCAGTCACGATTTGCTTCTTTTTTTAACTCGTGATATATATTCTGGAAGCATTTCTATTTTTACAAGGATCGCACAAAAATATAAATGAAAAAATATCGAAAAAATATATATGAATTAGATTCAAATTACTCAATTGGAGTAATAATCTTTTGAAAAAATAATTTTTCTCAGCGAAGATATGCTTGTATTTTAATCACTCCGTAATTGGAGTGATTCTCTTTGCGAGGACTGGGGAATCCTATTGACCTCACGAAATTCAGTGACGGAACCAAAGATGATTGACTAAAGTAGAGGCTCAGTTCTGGCGGTTTGAGTGATCCCAGCGGCATCGCAGTACTGCACCCCAAAATAGGGAGGGCACCACACGCGGCATTTACTCGAATTGAAAAATTCTAAACTTTCAAAAATGTATCAGGGGAGAATGAAAATCGAGGAGGGATTCACTGGAATTGAAAAATTCGAAATTTTCAAAAATATATCAGGGGAGCATGAAAATTGAGGAGGTATTCACTGAAACGTGAAAAATTGAAATTTTTGAAAAAGTATCAGGGGAGCATGAAAATCGAGGAGGTATTCGCTGAAATTCAAAAATTCGAAATTTTTGAAAGAGTATCAGGGGAGCATGAAAATCGAGGAGGTATTCACTGAAATTCAAAAATTCGAAATTTTTGAAAAAGTATCAGGGGAGCATGAAAATCGAGGA